TTATTACTCATTATCATGCTGTGCTGTCATATCAAGTTTAAGATGTTCAGATGAAAATGTAATACATTAGTCACCTCTCATACTACAAATACATATTATTTCTAGTAAATGATAAACACTGAACCACATTCTGCAAGCTCTACTTAGAATAAACACTGTAATACTTTAATGCTACTGAGATCTGATGTCTTATCCTACTTAGATGCTTTCACGAACTGATTCTTTAATCTCATTCTCCATTTTATTTATAAAATTGCAAAGGAGATATAACATTTACAACAAAAAACGTATGATGGAATTAGCAAAATAAACCTGCATAAATCTGCTTTTGAGAGTGGTTTAATGATTACACCCCACCCCTCCAGTTCTGCTTCCAGGGATTTCCCAGATTTTCAGCTGTACTGAACTGCTGCAGTTGTACTATATATTGACAGGATCTGGACTGCTCAAAAGTGAAATGAAGTTCAGCAAATCTGTTATTTCCACAGGGAATTATTATTCAAGAATGTATTCTTTCATGTTTTCAAAGAATATCCACTTAATGACTTAGAGATTTTTAGGGTTTTGTCACAAGTTTTCCTTTCAGGACCCTCAGTGGCTTAACAAATAAGGTGGGGATGGCAGATATACCAAATAAATAGGGGTCTTTCCCCTCCAGAATTCAGAGCTGTGCATGAAAAATCCAGGTAAAAAATACATCACTTTGCTGTGCTTCTGTTTGACAAGTGGAAATAATTATCTTGAACTCCATTTTAAAAGTTGCACTCTTAACATCACTGACATTGTTCTTCTGGTTAGAGCCAGCAGTGTCTTGTAATTTTAGCAAAAGCAATGGAAATAATAAAATCTCTTTATTGATTAATCACATTGTCTGAATTATATATTGTTTCCTGAAATTTATGTTGTTCTCCAGACCTTTTTTAAGTGATAAAATTACTCTTCTTTTTTTTTTTTTTTCCTTAATGGTAACAGGAAATATTTTTTGAAAGAAATGTAGAAAACAGTCCATTGAGTTCCTTCTTGTTAAAATATATTAGCAAGGTCAGGTGATATTGTTCAAAAATCTAGTAAGCATAGAAAAATTGGAATTATTGCAAGGAACTTTAGTAGAGAAGTTACATAAGTCTATACCTGTTTTCCAGGTATTTTGAAATAAGGGGAGTTCTCAGCAATACATGCTGTTTCCAATATGGACATAAGTAATAAGTAGTCTCAGGAATTCTACACTGTAATTTTTTTCAATGATTACTTTCAAATATGAATAAAGTTCAAATTTAGCAACTGGAAGCATTGATGTTAAAGTAGAAAAGTTTGAAAAGTCACCATAATTTGATGCTGATATTCTTGTATTAAATACTGAGGTTCAACAGAGATTTTTCTATGTGAAAGTTAATTTATATAAAATTAAGATAATGCAAATTGTTCATATGAGTAGAGAAAATTCCTTTTACATTGTGTAGCACTAGTAAAATATGAAAGGACCTTTTTTTGCAACATTGTTTTGCATTTTTTACTGAGCTGTGGTTTTTAAAGTTTTGAAATTGAAAGTAAGGGCTGCTAGAGCTTGTTGGGTCCAGCGGAGTTCAGGAGCTGGGAAGTGCTCCTTTCTGACCCAGTGAAGCAGAATTTGATGGAATTTAAAACCCAGGGAGGGGATCCTCCTGTCCCACTCCTAATGAAGTCCAAGGTGCAACCTGTCATGAGGTTGAGCATGTATTCCCAATAGGAAAATGGGCATATACCATACCCAGAGGACCAATCACATAGATCCATGGACAGAATAGCTCTCTTGCAGCACCTACATAACAATAAGCAGCACTCACGTAAACATGATCAACACTGATCATTTAATTCCTTCTTTTTGAAGGATTGGGATTGATGGAATATACACCTCCTGACTGTACTGGCCCAGTTTCACTCATATGTCTGGCATGTGAAATTTTAGTCAATACAATATCCATACCCAGGCTCTGCCCCCTTTACAAAGTGACTAGCTTAAACCTTGAGTCATTCCAAATGTAGATCTCATACTTTCCAATCAGTTCTGTTTGAGTGGTCTTTATGGTTACACGCACACTCCCCCTCACACCCTGTGGGTTTCTGCAGGGACTGGTCTGAGACAGTTCAGCTACTGACACCCAGCCCTCAGTTGCCTCACCTATGTGATCTCTTTCCAGTGCCTGGCACCCATCCCATGCCCCTTGCCGTCTAGTCCAGCATGAAGTTAGCCTGAAGTCTGCTACCATTCACACACATGCAGAATGAGAATAAGGACCACACTTACACAAAAGATGGTTAGAGATAGAATTTAATAACAATATACAATAGATTCATTTAGAAAAATGTTCACCTGCATCCATTTCCTTTCTTCCCTTCTTGCCACCATCTACCTATATTTATACAGCTCTCCATATTTATGCCTTCCTTTCCTTTCCTGTGGCCCATCCCCTAAATGCCATATATGTTTTGCACATACACAAAGCCCTTAAGATATACCATAATGTTTTACACAATTCCAAGTTCCTTTCTTCCATCTAGCAAAATTAACTGTCCTGTACCAGCCTACTACCCTTTTAGGTAGGAATCACCCTTTTTCAGGGCATCGTGGAAAGGAAGACTTTTCACTGAAGCTTCTTGGTAGGTTTCCCTATGAAATCATAACTGCAGCAACCACTTTCAGTCATCTTAGAAGCAGAAAATTCAGTGACTTCAGTTACTCATCAACTGTCATTACCCTTTTGATCATCACCGGTCTTTGTATTTGATTTGATTAACCTCTCATTGGATAACATAAACCCTGTAAAATTCATAATAAATTATATCTTGTTTAGATCAGATGATTTATTTCCATCATTAGCTTATTTTCTTGGAATTTCTAGTCCTAAAGACTTTCCTTGAACAGTATATTTCCCTGTAATGTAATTCAGAAAGAACACAATGTACAGCTATACATATACATATACATATACATATACATATACATACATACATACATACATACATATGTATTTTATATATAAATATATATATATGAAACTTCTTAGCTATTTTATATTCTTGGTACTTTCTCAGTGTACTTGTCAATTTTTTTGTGTCTAATGCAACTTAAACTTATGCAGCTGCTTTTGAATTTCCAAGAAAATCACAGAACAATATAGGTTCAATTGTAGTAAAGCTCCATGTGAACTATAATAAAGGTAGAGTAATTAGGGCATGATTTCATGACTGTTTTATTTGGCCATAAGTCCATGCTCCGTGACTCACAGAGTTTTAGGCAGACTAGACAGATAACTGAATGATTCATTTTCACACAGATCCATTCCCTGCATCCATCAGAACACTTCTCTGTAACGACAGCAGCAATCAATACTTTGTGCTTTTTACTGTACTGAAGTGGGAGGGATGACAAAAGTTCTGTAAAATCTACATGTGGATTCAGATTATCTTGAAATTTGCTGTGTACTTAAGAGTGAAGAACAAGGTTGGGGAGTTCAAAAAGGCTTTTGAGATGGAATTTTCTGTTCAAAAATGCAGGTCCTTTGTGTTTATGTTTTTGTGTGGGTTTTTACTATGCGGGAGGAGTAATATGTGTATAAAACTGCCCATATTTTCTCCTTTCTTTGTCCATCCTTAAGATTTCAGTGATTGTTTTGACTTTCCTGAAACTGAATTCAGAATCTATTCAATTCAATATGCGAAACTTCCTGTCATAAAAGCATTTTTAAAAAGCTCTGCTTAGACAGTGGATTTGTCCAAATAATGTATAATTAGGAGCAAAATACTTACGTGAAGTATGATAAAGACCTTCATGGAAGATGCATCCCATGTGTAGGGCAGTGGTATGATTTAGCATAATGTGCCATAGCTATTAAACCTGAACAAATACACCAAAGGTGTAAATTAAGTCCTATGTTTGGCAGTATTTCATGGTTGAGTTCTTATTTTTGGGACTTCCTGAGCTTGTATCTCTGCTGATGGCTGGAGCAAGGGTGAAAACCATATGTAAAGCCATCTCAGATAATATAAGTAAATAGAGAAAACACATTGAAAAAAAAAAAATTTTTTATGGGATTGTCATGTTCCTTAAATTTTCTTTGCCTTTTTTACAGAGATCTCCATCAAACTGAATTTGACATTTGGAAAGGGCACAAAATGCTTTGGCAACCTTATCTCTTCATTGCTAAAGTTTTGGGAAAATTCATGTTTATTGAATGTGTCACAAATGGTTGTTTATTCTCTGTGAGCCTCTTGTGCCTCTAGGCACTATGCGTATATGAATGGAGACTTTGCAATATTTTCTTAGAGTAGATAAAATGAGTCAAAGTTTTTTATTGTTAATTTTTGCCACTATATAAGAAATTTTTTCTATTCACTAAATACTTTTTGTGCCAAATTTTACATCTAATTTCCTATGAAATGCTTTTTTGCCTTCTAGATAGTTTTAGGGAATCTTGATTTGCTTTGCTGAGTTATTAAAAAAAAAAAAAAAAAAAAGAAAGAAAGAAAAGCCTGGAAACTCTCCTGTTTTGTGGGCTGACAGGGATAAATTTAGCCTTTTTTCTGTGTCAAAGTCTTTGCAGAGTCATTATTTACATTTTGAAGTTTCCAGAGGCTACTAAACATGACTCTTTCAACTCAGTCAAGGTAGGTCAGTTCATTTTCAAGGGTTTTGCTGATGTTAAAGGTAATGACACTGCTGCCAGCTCTGTATTTTGCTATTATTAGTAGTATGTATTGAATGTTTAGTGAGGTACTTGCAAATTATAATTATTTAATTGAAGTGATATTATGGGAGATATTTTAAATATTTTTTCATTATTTTCATATTTAATCATTATTTGTAATTCTCATAAGATTATAATAGTTAAGTAATTCTATACAATGCTGCAAGATTAATGTTGTCCTCAGTATTGAGATATCTTGATTCTACCCTTGTTTATAGTAATTAAATATACTAAAGATCTTTTTCTTGTCTTTTTTTTCAAACTGTTTGCACTTAGCGATGTAGCAAAAAAGCATCAGCTTTGTTGTTGTGGATCCTAAAATCATCTGGAATAATTGCAAACCGTCCTTGGCCAAGGATCACTCTCACATTGACAACCACTGCTATAATATTAACCATGGCTGTATTCAACATGGTAAGAGAAAATGGGGTAATTTTTTTCTGATTTTTTGTCCGTTTAAGATTTGCTGTTGCTGTTATTTAGTGTTTTTTTAGATGTTAAATTTATGGCCCATTGCTATGCCAGGAACCTATGTGATAACAATTGCCAGAGGCAGAAATGTAAAGCAGAGTGAAAGAAAACATACTGTGTAATTGAGACCTCTGCAAACAGGATGCTCAATAAAACCTCAGGCCCTGGCTAAATTTGTTAAAGAAAAATATTTTTTATAATGAACAGAAAGCAATTTAATCCCAGATTTGAATTGCACAAGTCCCATAGTCATATATGCATCTCTTAGAAAAACAGCATTGCTGAAAGAATGAAGTATCTCCTCATGGGATTTGTGGAAGACTTTGTGTGAAACAAGCTAAGTTTTATTCAGGTCTGTGATGCTCTTCTGCTGACTCCAAAATGATCATAATGTATACATTATTGATTTTACATGCTTGTCTTTTTTCAAAATAAGAAAAAAATTCAGTTATGTCAAAACTTCAAAAGAACTGATCTACAAATTTGTTAGGGCTTACATCTACTTAAGTCATTTCAACTGATTCTTTTCTCTCCTAACAGAGAAAATCCATATAATTTTACTATTCTTTTGCAACTATAGCAATTATAGAGTAAATCTGTCATTAGTTTGCCTAAAGCATGAATCTCATTTAGTCTGAAGGGTCTGTTGTCTAATGGGATGAACAGTACACAGAATCAAAAGTCTTCTTTTGTTTTGTCCTGTTGGCTAAGGCGTGTTCTGTTCATAAACCTGTGAAAGTATTCCAGTTCAGTTCTGTAGCTGCAAAGTGGGAACTCTAACATTTATTCAGGCAATGTTTTCATCACAATATCAATGCATACATATTATTCATGTTTCAAGTGAGTGAGAGTCACATTTCAGTGCTTTTGAAATTGCAACTCTAATGTTTCCTTGAAGTGCTGGTATTTTGCTACTTAGGATTCATAAAGGTCTTAGAGATTGATAATACCTAGACTGTTTTATTTTGTTTTCCTGCATTTCAGGGGACCTTAGTCAATCATTTGTTACACTAAGTACTAAACTTGTCCAAATAATATAATATAGGCTTTTAAATGTGAACACTTGAAATTTTTGGTAGTGTTCTCTCCAATTTTATTGTTAATTTTTTCTAGTCTTGCTAATGTTGGTTTTCTGTTTTTTGTTTTTCTACTTTTTTTGAAGGAGAGCAGAGAAAAACAAAACCAATTCCATTTCCAAAATCTAAAATTCACCTAAGTGAATTTAGTGTGTAAGGCTGGGAGAGGAGAAACTCAAAAAAGCAGTGGTTAAAAATGAGAATATAAACTGACTTTTCATCAGTGAAAGCAGTCAGCAATTGAAGCAATTATTCTGAAAAGCTGTTGATTCTCCATTAGCTGAAGATTCTATGCCTTTTTGAACTATAACCTTTAGCCATGAGAGTTATGGCTCAACAGCATAAACCTCAGAGATTTAGTAACTTGTAAAATTAAGATCAGGCTAGATTTTCTCTTATTTTGAACTCTGTAAATATATCAGAAGAAAAGAAAGAACCTACTTGGGTTTAAAGTATACATTGAGTTAGACTTCATGCATATGGTTATTAAGTTAAAAAATTTAAAAGGAGATATGGTCATAAACTGCTTTTTGCTTAAACTAAAGTTCTATTAGTGTGTACAGCCCACTTCAAATTTGGCCTTCAAGTAGTAAAAGGCATTTTATCAAAATATAAGGAGTTTTTCAGTACCTAATTTTTAGGAAAAGGCTTTAATTTTATTGGCTCATGTCCAATTTTATGTGGACTGAATGTTATAGTAAAACCTAATAGGCTGTATTTTAAAGTCTTAGTACCTTATCAGCAATTTTACAGTGTTACAAATAATCATGTTCCATGATATTCATGAGATGATAATTTTAAGTACAGTTCCCATCTTGAAACCAAACATTAATAGTTTGACTAGCAAAAATGACTTTAAATGTGATTGTGAAATTTGCATTAGCAAATTGTGGGAGAGACTCTGAAGTATCATTATTGTATCTCCAAGCAACATGTATTTAATAGTAGAGTCCACTAACTGCATTTACTTCCATGAACCATTTCAGTAGAAAAAGGCAAAATGTAGCCATTAAGATTTAATGGAGATAAAAAGTATCTAACCATGCCACACCTAATAAATCATCATTAAGACCAAAATGTCAAATAAAACTCAGTCTTCATAGTCAAGGGGTGCAATTTTATTTGAAATTAGCTGTTTCAACAGATGTGTAAATCTCTTGTTCAGGTTTGAGACATATGTAGTCCTGATCAGCAAAGGGAAGTTAAAAATCAACTAATGTCACTTAAGTATCAAATAGTTCTGAGCTGAAAGGAGAGGGTAAGCATTAGATATAGAGCTATATAGACAGTAGGACATCTATGAGTGGCTGAGGAAAGCTGGTTTTTTGTCAGGCTGACCTGCTTTAAACTGATCAAGAAAGTATCCTGCATGGAGCAATCCAGGTGGCCCAGAGTGACTGTAGGAGTGCATGACTGCAAAGGGTCAATACTTGGAAGCTGAATGAATGACTGTATGCAATACATTAAATGATTGTGCCTCACCATCCTCTGGGATTAATGTGATCTCAAAGAATACAGCATGATAAAAGAGTCCTGCAACAGCTCTTGATTTCAGTGACTTCTTCTTCAAACACATGGCACAGGAAAATCTCAGAGTTGTACTGTCATACTCTTGACTACTCTAACTACCAGCTTTAGGATTCAGGATCTTAGAATCATAGGATAGTTTGGGTTAAAAAGAATCTTAACAGGTCACTCAGTTCAACTCCTCACTGCCATGGTCAGGAACATCTTCAGCTAAATCAGGTTTCACAGAGCCTTGACTAACCTGACTTGGAGTGTTTCCAAGAATGGGGTACCCACAACCTCCCTGAGAAATCTGTTCTAGTGCCTCACCACTCTCATGATAGAAAAAATGTTTCCTTATATCTAATCTGAATTCACTCAGTTTTAGTTTAAAACCATAACCCCTTGTCCTACCATGACAGACCCTGCTACAAAGTTTGTCCCCATCTTACTTATAGGCCCTCCAGGTACTGGAAGGTGCTCTAAAGTCTCCCTGGAGCCTTCTCTTCTCCAGGCAGAACAACCCCAGCTCTCTCAGCTTGTCTTCACTGGAGAGGTAGTCCTGCCCTCTGATAATCTCTGTAGCCATTTTGTAGATATTACTTGCTTTCCTGTCTTTTCATCCAGTGAATTTTGGCAACTGGGCTGTCTCCTCCTAAAGAACACATGTTTAGGAATGTGAATACTGAAAGAGGTTTGATTATTTTTGCTCCATTGGTTAATGTACATCTGTGAGCACAAGCAGCCTTAAATGATGCAATCATTAGCCTCTTCTAAGTCATGAATTATATCCTATGTTCAAATAATGACAAATAATCAAACCTGCTTTCATTCTCATAGTGGAAAGTTGGTTTCTTTAATATACGTTCCTTTTAGTGCAGCTGACTGTTGCTGACCTTGTTTTTCTAATCGTCAAGCTCTTTGGCAGATACACTCTAATTATACAATCCCACAGTGCCTGGTATATTGAAGACCCTTTGTTTCGGATGGTGCCTAATGCATGTCTTTCAAGAAGAATAGACACAGCCTAGAGGTTGACCTGGCCTCGAGTTTGGAAAGAGAAAGCACAGCTGAAGTAATTTCATTTAAGTGGTACTCACAGGTCCCAGTCACAAATCTATTCTAGATTATAGACAGGATTTAAGGAACTTGAAAAAAATCAGTATCAATCTAGGTACACTAGACTTGCAGAGATGCGCTAGCAGGTGAGACACTGCTCTGAAATAATGTTTACAGCAGTTCTGGTTTCTTTCAAGGGTGTGGGAAGAGATAGAGTCATGTTGTCACTGCCTTTATAAGTGAGCATCTCTCCATATTTGTCAAATACAAAAATCATGCTGTCTGAGTCGGTAGAGGGCCAGTAGGTTCCTCACCTCCCCTGTTGGTGGGAGCTTTGAGCAAGACAGTGACTTGCCACTACATATTGCATCTACAGGGGGCTAGGAATTGAATACATGGTGGTATAAAGATAGTTAAGCGTTTTCACTTGGCACACAAATGTCATAAAAAAGAAATTATTGAGCAATTTTAATTTGGTCCATTTGACTTTTAACAAGAGATATGCCGCAAGACACCAAATAACAGATGCATGAGCACTGTGATGTTAAGAGGCCTTGTACAAACCCTGAGGCAAAATGCTCTAAAAATTCGGCTAAATGCATTTCAGTACTCTCTGGATTTTCATTGTCCTTTTACAACTTGCCAATATCTCAGTATCACCTTTATATGGTAAAAGTGCATAATAGTCTTGGTAGGAACTTATCATTTCAGGCTGTCCTTAAATCCTTCCTTTTAAGCCTGGGAAGAGAGGGAATGATACCAGAATCTGGGATTCTTTACACTATCCTTGGGGCATTCTTTTGAGGATCTGGGAATAAAAGTCCTGACTCAACTGCCAGACCAACTGGCATTTTTCAAAGGAAGCTGTGATATGCATTCTACATCCAAGTACTTTCATACCGCAGTGAGAAAGATGGCTTCTTTTCTAGTGAAATCTAAACTAGTGTATTATGTTGCTGTTTTCAGACGAGAGATGCACTAATTTTCTTATCCCATGTTTTGAGGGGAGGGTCTATCAGCACATGGCTCCTATTGAAAGCAGGTATTTTCATTATGTGAGGCAGAAAACTCACAACTGAGGATTGCAGATCATGTGAACACAAGAAAAAAAAAATGTTAGAATATATGAAGTTAAAATAAGAACGTAATGGTAGCATGCTTAGATGTTCCCTGGCAAACATTGGTATTCATAAAAAATACTGCTTTCATTTGAGTCATTTGAGTAGGTGTGACTGCTTAGTAGGACTGAACCTACTCTTACAAAAAATACTATGTTGAAGAATAATATGTATCTTCAAAGCATGACAGCAGATATAGATAACTGATGAGAGACAAGAAAGACAAGTGCAAACACATCATTCAGAAATAAGTAGTGTCACCTGCTCATGGCAGGTGACAACGCTTTCATATCCTTTTTTTTCCCCTTTTTATATTTATTAATATATGCATAGGTATACCATATTTCATATAGTGTTCTGTGTATACATGTAACATTTATAGGTCAGAAATGCTTTGTGAAAAGTTAAAAACCCAAATTAAAATGCTTAAATATAAATTAACATATATTAATATGCCTGCCATATGTGTTTATATAATATAATTGTGTTTGAGTTCTTCATGTTAAATAATCTTTGTTCTGGGGACATGCATAAGGTGGGATTCTGAAACTGAATATTTCATGTTTATAGAAAAAGTATATGCACTCTCAGTGTGATGTGAGTTCCCTTAGCATATGCCCTTGTTAGCAAAATCTATTAAATAGCTGGAGGCAGGGAAGGGGAATAAATCCTCAAAGCTGTCTGAAGGGCTTTTGCCCAAAATTGTTTCTGTTAAACAAGGCAGATGAGCTGGCTTAAAAAGTAACCAAATTACTTCAAAAAATCCTTAAGTAAAGAAGGAAATAGTGTGAAAAGAAATATAAAAGGATCAGAATCACAGAATGGATCAGGTTGGATAGGACTACAGTGGGTCATCTGGCCCAACCTCCCTCCTCAAGCAGGGTCATTTTAGAGCACATGGCACAGGATTGTGTCCAGATGGTTCTTGAATATTTCCCCTGTGGGAGACTCCACATCCTCTCTGGGCAATGTTCAAATGTGTAACAGGAGACAGAGAGCTATGAGTGGAAACAGATGATTGTCAAAATACTATTCTGACACTGTCATAAGTCACTTCTTTGGCATCACACCTCTGCCTCAGCCAGCAAGAGCAGCCTGCCTGTTGGATACTGTGACCTGCCTACCATGCAAATGGGCAGAGAACAGCATGGGCTGGGACAAGCAGGGACCACTGCTCAGGTTTGTCCCTGCACATGAACTCACAGGGACCTCTCTCCAGCATGTGCATTGACAGCTTGCAGGGAGCTGCACAAGTGCACATAAAACTGGAGTACCTCCATCTATTTTCAGCAGCATGTGCCAGTAGGGGAACCTGCATTCCCAGAAGAGGGAGTGTGTGCATTTCACCCACACATCTTGTGTGGGAAGAGGCAGATGTGCATGTAACTCTCTGCATGTGTACAGCATTAGAGGTCTTTGGGACCAGTTACAGAAGGATTTTTCAAAATCTGTAGGTGTTTATTAACATGTTATACGGTCTGTTTTCATGGTTTATCTGTTATATTTCTGATACTGATCTTGATCCCAACTTTGTAGTTCACTGATGGCAGGTTAATTATATGTAGTTTCACATACACAGTTGCTGGGTTTAAAGCAAGATAAGCACCCCGATCGGCTCCAGCACGGGCGGCTATCCCAGCCGCGCGGACCACCTCCCACTCCATCAATGTGATGGATGGCAAAAATGGTGATTTATTGCAGGGAAACTTAACATTTTATAGCCTAGGGTCACTGTGTTACTCCCATCTACATACGTCACACTTAGATGCTATTGGTTAATTGCAAGAGAACTTACTATCTTAGCAGAGAGGGGGTCTGCTATCTTTCCGTTACATCCTGAGTTCTTCCGCAGCGCCAGGCCCTAAACTACAATACACAGTTACATTAGCAAATATGTTACATGCACAGTACATATTTTACATGCACAGTTATGTTAGCAAATCATGAGAGCACAAAAGTGCAACTGCATAAACACAGGTAAGTGCCAGCTTGGTTTTGGTAGTAGGTGGTGTATTGATAACCTTTGCAAATCCACAACCTTGTAGCTCTGTTGAAGGGGAGTTTGAGAGAGAATATCTTCGGACTCCTCTCCGCAGAGCTATATAACATATCAAAGGGCACTTAACACAGGCAGTGACATGGGAGGTTGGATAGTCTTTAGAAAGATAAAAGCAGTCACAGCGCATGTACATTGCTGACTGCTGCCAAGGGGAATTGTGGGTCTCTGTCCTTGCATGTTTCCAAGACCTGGCTTTCAGAACTATGACTGACCAGATCTAACGTTAGTAAATCAATAAATCGTTTTGACCCAAATTTAGTTGCTCCAAGTGAAGTGGTTTCCTGTGTGATTACTGGCTGAATTTGACCAAGAACTGGCTGAATGACCCAAGAGATAACTGGATTCCCTTTTCTGTTTCAATTACATTAGTCCTGGTATTGATGTCAGCATTATTATGTTATTGCATTTGTGTAAATCAACTTCAGTGAAGCTTCTTTTTCTTTCTCTAATTCTTCCTGTGTTTAAATAGGACATTAAGTTGAGGTAAACACAGGAATAATTCATATTGAATTTATTTCATCATTGTCTCTTGGATGTGTGAGCTTCTGATATATGAAAGTAATATAAAAAAGAGAATTTTGTCTTTTATTCAAATTGAAAGTGTCAGATGAAAGTTAGCAAAGTTGTTTTTGTTTGAGAATACAGGAACAAGTAATCATGTTGTGTCATATTCCTTTTCCTATTTCAAATTAAAATACAAAAAATAGTGAAATGCCAAAGTTAAATGTTTACATGCAAGGCTTTCAATGCTTCTCCATTTCTATTCTCTATTTTGACCTTAAACAGCTATCATGCTAAAGGATTATATGTTGATTTTTTTTTTCTAGTTTTTCCTAGATAATGCTGTGATAGCTTTTCCTTCAGTTCTTAATTCATCAAATGCAAGTTTTCCTGATTCAAGTAATCAGACACAGTGGTGTATACAAAATAACTGTTTTTTCCTACCGGTAAGTTCATTTCACATTTCTTTATTTGTTTACAACAATTACACTAAATTGAGTATTACCAGATCTGCTTGAAGTTAAACACCCACCCATTTCTGAGACTGCAGTAAAAGCTTGATTTTTTTTTTTTTTTGCCAGCTGCAACTGCATGTGAAATAAGTGGGAAGTTAAATGAGATTAGTACTTCTGAAAATACAGGTTTTAATAAATGTCAGATTTAAAAAGCAGGAAACAGCATAATAACAAGGAAGTTTAAGTAACCCATGCTAACACATTACAAAATATCAAGATAACACACAGCATCTGCAAAGCAGACTGTGCACTGAAAGCCAGGTTAGTCTGCAAGCAGGTTTTCCATGGTGGGAATCTTTTCAGGTGACTGACTTGAAAATATTTACAATTTTCAAGTGTGAAATTGTCATTGCACACTTGGTAAGAAATGGTGTGAGAGGGTGGAAATAAAACTTTAATGTACCACTACATAAACTGCTTCAGAGATCTGAACTGATCAGAAGAAGATGTTGTAACCTGAACCAAAAGCACAATGGCACATACAGGAAGAGGGGGAAGGACATAGCTGCAAAAAAGTGGGAGCTGTGTCGTAGAGAGCAGTGATTCTTAACAGGATTACAAAAGACCTGCAGCTGAAAAAAACAAGCCATATATTGTGTCAAAATAGGTCAGCTGGGGTTGGGTGAATAAGCTGGGAGCAGCAAGAGGAGAAGGGAGTTTATTTCATCTCTATGGTGAAATAATGAGGCTATTGCCAAAATGGTGTGTCCTGATTTCAGGATTTATAGCTCTTAAAGTATTAAAACAAATTCTTTCATCTAGAATTTTTTTTCTTTGATATATTGGCATAAAAATTATATTAAAATTTCACTTCTGACATTGTTATTATTGTTATTGTTAAAAATTTGTTATTTTGAATCTGTGGTTAGTTTTAAGCTTTATTCATGTCAATAAACTTTATGTGACTTATGATAGTAAACCTGACATCTATTGACTACATCATCTAAGATAAGTCCATAAGAGCTTCAGGAATTACTTTAGCCCCAGTTGAATTAAGTTCATTTTGAAGCAAAACAATTGATTTGCCTCTTTCTCTACCTCCCAAAATGGCTTTTTGGATTAGTATAGCTTACTTTTTAAGAAGACTTAGCAAAGACTCCTCAATAAATTATAGTAACATTTTTGTGTTTAGTTTTGTTTCGTTTTGCTATGATGCTTCTGTAGTTTCCATGTAATAGAAGTTAATGTGTATATCTGCTCCTGGTACAAAATACCATCTGATATCAATGCAGCCACCTCCACATGTTAAATAAATAAAAGTTATAATACTGACACCTAAAAGATGCAATTTTGGAATGTTTTTTATTTGACTAGGAATTTTTTTTACAAAATTTGCAAAATTACTTTGTCCTCAAGTTTTTTTCTATATAAAAGTATGGGAGTAGAATTCCTTCTTACATCATTAAAGATCTTCATATCCACAGAACTGTAGGTCTTAAATTTTAAGAGAAGAGACCAAATGCATTGGGCTGGATCTTGGTGCTGCAAGGCACCAGACCTGTGATCCCAGTAAGAAAGACACTCAGACTCTGTAAGGTATTGGTTAAAATACATTTATTAGCTAGCAAAAGAAAGAAAAAGAGAATAGATGAAGTTACTCCCCTTCAGATACTGAGAATCTTGATTTGTACAGCATGAGGTGCAGATTCTGTCTTTGTAGAGATTACCCAGCATTTTCTTCTTCTCAGCTGTTAGAGGATTTTTTTTTAAAGGAAGCATTTCTGTTCACTGCTTCAGCTGTCAGACAAAAGGGACATCCATGAGAGCTTGCTGTTGCACTGCTGGATAAAGGCTGCAGAAGTGGCATCACACTGGGTACTATGTGGGAGCTGTCTGCAGGATCCTGGGTGGTGAAAAGTTGGCTAAGCTTAGTTGGCTGAGGTTATCCTGTGGCTGAGGAATGCGCTAAGCAGGGGCCTGCACCTGCTCAGCTTCACTGCTCTGTGTATTGCCAGACACTCCAGTTCTGCTTGTTTCTTACTGACACACTGCATTGCAATGCAAGGTCTGCATTCTTAAATGTGTGGCTGTGCCACTCTTGTCTAATTCATCCACCCTTGTTTGAAATTTTCAATCTGTTCTCTGTATTCTTATGGAACACTGTCAGAGACTGTTCCACTTGAAAATTTCTGGGTCTTTGTCAAACAGTATCCAGTTATGTATTCAAGACTGCCTGTCATGAGGTGACTTTACCTTTAAGGTGGTTGTGAGAGCTAAGGAAGTTGAAGTTGCTGGGGACTGAAAAGAGTCCCTTCTCCTGACCAATTATTGGTCATTACTGGGAATTGACAGCAATTTTAACCATTGAAAAGGGAGATCAACTTGTGAACCCTACCTTAAGATGTAAAGTCAGGGCACTTTGGGCTCTTTGTTTCCTGGCTGTGCAAAGTAACAGAGCTCCGGCTGGCCTCCCGTTCCCCTTGCCCAGGCCATGCGGCTGGGCGGGGGCTGGGCTGGGCCTGCTGCGTCTCCCGGCCGGGAGATGGGGCCTGCGGGGCTTGCCCCGGTCTCTGGCCGGGCCAAGCCGGTCTCTGGCTCGGCTGCAGTGACGGAGTTCACTGTGGACTGCTGAGTAAAGAAGGAGAAAAAGCTCTGGACCTGCGGCGAGCTGAGACAGCAACTACACTCTCCAGAGCAGCAATGGGGAATTTTCTATCGCAGATGGCTCCAGCTCCTGCACCGGCAGAGATCACAGAGCCATCTACAAAGCCTGGGCAAGATTTTAAACTTTTCATTTCTCAGATGAGACTTGCAGATTAATCCTTTTATCCAGAGAGAGAAAAAGAGAGTGATCAACATGAAAAGAGACTTTATAAACTATCAGAGACAAGAAAAGAAGCTTCAGGAAAGGTAGAGAATTAAAAAGATGCTTTAATTAAGATGAAATATTTTTCTGTTAAAGCTATGGAGATGGACAATAAAGTCCTGAAAGAACTCCTTTAATTCATGTCCGTATATAGGGAGGAATAGAGTGTTCAAAGTGAAACTTTCGAGTAAAAAGTAGAGTGATTATGATATAGTGAAGTGCTGGAAACAGTGAAGCGAAAATTTGAAGCCTTGGGGGTTAATGAGAAAAACTGTTTTCTGGTGAAGCTCACAGAAACAGATGAAGAAGACTTTTGCTTTTGAATAACTCATCCTTAAAATGACATCCCTATACTCATGGCCCATACACACTTCAGAGTGATGTGAAATGGGAGGAGTGAGCTCTGATAACAGCAGTTCTGGGCAGCTAACATTAGGGCAATGGAAAACTATAACAAAAATAGTTTTCTTGTGAGAAACTCCATAAATTAACAGGAAGAAACTTCTGTTTCTCTACAAAGACTGGTGAAAAGACTATAGCAGGAATTGAGACTGTTTTAACCACCAAAATTCCAAAGTTTTTGTCTCTGTTGTCATGTGAACAATAGTGGGTAGATAGGGGATAAAAAAGGTTTTTCTAGAAGTTTATTCTGGTGTTCTTATTACTGTAGTTTGTCAATAAACTTTCTTTATTCCTTTTAAGTTTTATGCCTGTTTTGCTCTTGTTCTAATCCATATCTCACAGCAAGAAATAAGTAATTTTTTTAGTTACTGGTTTAAAACCACAACACTGCCTCTGCTTGTTTCTTTTTGGAAAACTGATTTCAACAGTAGAATGCCTTATTGACTCGAAAAAAGATGCTGTTATTTTTATGTAACACTGAATTTGGAGTGTGACCTCCTCTGAAATGCAGCTATCAGAGAAGTTTTATTTTTGGTGATTCTGAACAATAGTTCTATCTATTTCTTATTTCAATCAGATCTTCAAGCAAATTACAGTAGCAACAAAGATTGAGATAGATAATTTTTTAGCCTGATGTGTGCTGTGAAAATTATCCATCTTTGAACTTCCAAAATTAGTATACAGTGATTTAGGCTCTGTCAAAAGTGCTGCCATCAACAAGTCAACAGTAGTCTGAAAACAGCATGACTAGAAATAGAATGCTTTGTAGTTTCAGGAAAAAAACTTCCTTGCAGGGTGCCAGACTGTAATTTTCAGGAAGAATTTCTGGCAAAGGGGTTGTGCATTAAAGACTAAGATAATGATTCTAGAGATGATTCCTGTCGTATCATTAATTTTTATGCCGTAATCAATTTCCAGAAAGTATCAGGAGAAAACATTTTTCCAGGAAAAAAACTTCAACTGTACATATTTTTGTTGATATATATGACATAGGAAAGAAAAGCCTTTTTTTTTTAGCAATCGAATGTGTTCTTATATGGTTATTGCTCTACAGGATTTGGGAAAAGGATTTTTTATATTTATACTTATATTATGCATAGGTTTTGTTAATAGCTTTCTATTTTTCCTATCCTAGCTGTATTTCTAGAGTTTGTAAAATTGTATATGTATGAGATTCATAAAAACTGCAAATATAGGCAATGAAATTATTGTTTTCAGGCCTTTAGACATTTTACCTTGACCCAAATGCTAGCAAGACATACAGGGTAATCCTGGAACTCAAGGATGAATGAAAATTTTACAGTGTAACAGGAATAAATCTTATGTTAATCTATTGGCAGCAGACTCCTACATTAGATTTCAACACCAGCAGAGGTATCCCACAATTGAAGATGAGTAAATCAAATGTGTCAAGGGGAGAAAATTAGGGACCAAAAATTTGTTTTTATTGACTGTCTATAAACCATAGTGTACCAGACTGTGATAGATTGCACACTTCAGTGGTCAGACAATAGTTTGTTTTTTAAAGTAGCCTGATCATTTTATTATGCATGATTTCCTACTCAAGAGCCAAATTGTAAATATTTTTCCATTTGATTTCTCTTTGCCAGTATTTTATATACAGCTGCATATTAGGGCTCATTTCCTGTTCTGTTTTCCTGAGGATAAATTATGAGTTGAAAATGGTAATAATGTTGATTGCATTGGTGGGCTACAATGTTATCCTTCTGCACAGCCATGGGCCCATGCTGGATGACTACAGCAAATTTATGTATGCGATGGCACCTCTTAGAAGGTAGGTGGCTAACTCCAGTCTTTCTGAAGTTAAATACTACCCATGGTAGTTCTTATGTCATGGAACATATGTGTTTGGCTATGTAATCAGAGTCACAATGTAAAATCATTTTCCTCCTGAAGTTAATTTGATTTGTGATTAGAATAAATTAGAATTAAGTAAGTCTGGACAAGGCATTTAAATCACATACTGCAGGAAATATAGTATGGTTTAATTTGCATTTTTGTCATAGAGGATGTTACAAAGATGTCATCATCAAGTTTGTTAAGGCCTCAGGCTGCATGTGATGAAGGTTTTTAGAGCATATTTGCTAAAAATGGAAGAAAATCGGCTTCCCCAGAACTAGTACATAGCCTGAAATGTTTTCAAATTAAGTCTTAGCAATTGAAAAAATTAGTAGACCAACAGTTTGGATATTTTTTTATTTTATTTTGCTGTGCCTATGTATCTCATTTTTAGTGAGACTGCTGAAATCTTTGCTATAGGTGATAATATGTAAGACCAAAATTATGACTCCATATCCTGTTATTCCTGTGTAAAATAATTTTTGGACAGCTGTAATTTCTACCTCATTTTCAAAACAAAGAGGTGGTTCTCTTCTGTGTATGGCAAGTATATGGCATATGCCACATCAGAAAACCTGGATATTGAGAGTGTAGTTTCAATATAAATTTTTTCTGTGCTGTAACAATCATGGAAAAGGATGTCAAATGAAAAATAATCTAAAAAAGAAAAAAAAAGTGTAGGTTTTCTTTGCACTTAAATGTAAAGACTACAATAACAAACCCTGGTCTTTGTTTCTGTTTTATTAATGGAAAGGGTATGGTGTGGAGAACCTGGGGACAGGTTGGATTGAGCTTGTGCTTTTGGCAGCTTTGATTTTGTGAGTCTAAGCTCTGTCTGTTGGTATTTTCCTTCCTAAATCTCCCAGCAAGGTTCTTGTTTCAGTGGCATGAGTAGGAAAGTTCTAGTGTGAACTGTTCCCATTACCTTTAGTGACTTCTGTGAAAACAGAGTTTTTAATAAACTGTACAAGATCTAGTTTGTGCCTCCTGAAATTCTCAGGTGAAAAGGTATCTTGGGACTAAGGTGCTTTAGTTTCTGTTTCTTCATATTCATTGGATATGGTCGAGCTCTCTATGATGGAAATAATGCTATTGTATTAAAAATCTATTTTTATTCTACTTGTATAGAATAAGCTACAAGTGCTCTCCATTTGCAAGTAAAAAAGGGTATTATTTTTCCTAAATTGTCATCTTATTATTGGACTTCAAAATGTAGGCACATTTGAGGAGAATGTAGTAGAATTATTTAAAGTTACATAATATAAATAATGATATTTCATCAAATAATATAGCATATCATATTTAAATGTTTTTAGTTTATATACCAGAAAGTAGTACTTATAAATTGTGGTCTTACTTTTGTGCTTGAAGTAATAATGGTTTAACTTTCAAGCAGCCTGCTTTACCTATGTTTTTATTTTATAGGCCAGGAATACTGAAGGACCTGAAGACAATGGGCTCAATTTCCTTATTCATATTCTTCATCACATTACTGGTTTTGGGTAGACAGGTAAGATGCACATTTCTCTTCACCTGCACCAGTGGACACAATTCCCACTGCCACATGCAGTCTGTCACCTTCTCAAAGAAGCACCTTTGTCCTGTTCTTTCCCATACCCTTGCAAAGGAGTGTCAGGAGCATCTATGTTCTTTCTTGCCTTCCAATACACCCTTAAAACTTACCAGTAACTATCATTGACATTATTCTGATAGTGTACTGTGTGACTATTGCTTGTCATTCTGACCGATACTGACTTGTTGCTTCCTGGTTTGCTCCCATCTGTCTGCCTCCATCTGCTGTCTCCCTGATTGCTTAATTGCAAGCTATTTTCTTCACAGTTATTACAATTTGGTGCAGACACAGAAACAATATAGCATTCACACAGAAGTGTACCACATGCTGAGGCCACAGTTGCACTAAAACTGTGACCCAACAGGAAACTACTCTTTTTATTACCCAGTTGTGTTTTTCTAGAACAAATGTGATGTCAATGGTCTTACTCTGTACTAAGCTGAGGGAAGATGCAAGGGCCATTTTTTCTCTAAATACTCAGGCCTGTACAGGATTCATGGCTAAAAGCTGCAGTTCCAGACCATTGTGCCAGAACAATGCTGTGCACAAGACAGGGTTCATGAAATGGAAGAGGCCATCCATGTGAGATCTCATGAACAGCCTGAGCCTTCACAGACTGCAGCCATGAGAAGGACTTTATTCCAGACTGTCCTTAAATCATTCCTTTGCATTACAATTCCTCAAAAGGTAATGACTGACATTTAAATTGCCATGCAGGCCCTGCAGGTTACTCCACAAAAAAATTTTTATCTGGCAGTTTCTGCAGTATTTATTGTAGTGGGGAACATCCTTCTTGATTTAGAAATAACATTCTTCATCTGCCTTGTCACTAGCAGCACATTAGAGTTTGTTCATTTGATGGTGGTGACAGAGTGGGTCTAGAGAACATCTACTTTCCTTCAGAAAGAGGGGTTTCTTTCATCTCATCAGTGGAGAATCTTTAGTCCTGTCAGCCCAAGTTTCAGATGGAGGCAGAAGGTACAATTCCAATAATAAAGGAGAGAAGGAATATCATCTTCACTGGGAAAGATATCTTTGTGGGTTCAGTCAGATCAGCAAGAAAGTTTGTTTTGCACATAGCTACAGGTGTTCTCTGTCACACCAACTAAGAAATGATCACACAATGGAAAAGTCTTCATTTTCAGAGCTGTAGGTCCAGGATCCTTGTCATGATAACACTTATTTGTATTTCTTCAGCCTTTTGCTTTCGATTTTTCTGCTAACTTACTCTCCTTTAAAGAAGGAGGAAAAAAATTCTGCATTTTCAAACACTCTTAAGCAGTCTAAATATTATTGGAAAATGTTATGAACTAATTTTAATACATAACTGGCATAAGACCTGTCATTTTAAGCTACTGTTGGTGATATTGATTGGTAGCAAATGCTTGGAAAATAATAGGGGAGGAAATCAACCTGCACAGAGTGACCTTTCCAAGGACATATACTTTCCACCTTCTGCCAGTTGGTATTTCTGTGGCTGTGTTTAATTGCTATTGGCTGTTCCGCTTTCTGTTTCACTGTCTGATCCCTTTTTAACCCATTTTATCTTCCTGGTGCTCCCAACACTGATAATGAATTTCACAGTTTGATAAAAATTCATGTGACAGTGTCTGTCTTTCTGTTTTTAAACTTCCTCTTTTCTACTTTCATTGAGTGGCTCCTGCAGGATGCTGTTGAGCCATCCTGGCAGTGTCAACAAAGTTAAATTCTTCCTTACCCTTCTTCCACAGAGAGTAATATACAAGCAATTTCTCTGGTAGTTATTGCTACTTTTTCATTTTATGATATCTGATTATTTTAAAAATGCTAAAGATAATAGCCACTGATGAAAAGGGTGACCTTTCCATTTCCCTTCAGCTGCCATGGGTGCTCTTCTGTCCCCAGGATGAGTAACCAAAAAGTTCATCCAAACAAAAAGTGGATGCTTTCCTGCAAGCCTAGTTTGTGAACATGCTGGTCACAGAGATGCCTCTCCTGAATCAAAAGCAGAGGCAACGGATAAGTGCCTGTGGTTCAGTGGGGATGAAGAGAGGGAGAGTTAGTATATCACTACATGGTTTATGAGCCTACTTAATTCTTTTAGCTGCACAGCTAAACTGGAAGAAGTAGACCTTCCCTCAGCTGCTTATTCTTATCCTATTGTCTCCTCACTTTTACTGGAACAGCTCACCATGAAGGTGTATAGTGGATCAAAATAGGGAAATGTTGAGGATTAAAAATTAGCCCTGCAGAAATCGTTGGTTTTGAGCCAGATCTATTTTCAAGATTTATGGCATGGCTACAGCAATGCTTGTGCCAGAAGAATGGGAGTGAACAGACAAAAGTGACGAGGAGAAAGCAAAACTGGTTTTTTTGATGGCCCTGCCAGCATAGGCAACAACCATTTCCTGACACTGAGACACAGTGACTCATTTCACCCTGAATACAGATCCCTAGAGTTACTTAATAATGTGATGGACAGACCATGTGTTGAGAATGGCAACCCTTCCACCCTTCCCAAGAGAATCCAGATTGGTGTGGGCTTGACTGTGTAAGAAGGAGTGTGCTCACATTTAAGCACCGTTAAGTACTGAATCTCTCTTATAATCTGCTTTGAGTCCAGTATTGACATAACCTGTGAATTCCTTTCTCAACGGTACCTAAAATACTGTGTCCCATTACCCTACCTTACTGTAGGCTGGCTGTAAATTTTTTCCATGATTGATTATATTGTAGTTATCCACACTGAATTTCACTGGTAGTTTTACTGCTGAGGTGCTTGTGGCAATTTCCCTGAACTGTAAAAACTGTTTCTTTGTTGTCTCTGTTCTGTTTTTTTAGTGAGCTTTTATTTTGTGAGGAAATTCTTCCCTTTTTGAGCAAAACAATCTCTTCAAAAGCCTCTTCTGAAAGAATTCAATGAAAACTTATTTTGAATTTCACTGCTAGTCACATGACCATTTACTTCTCTGTAGTAGATGGAGGCATGTTTACCTCCATCATTGATGACATCATTGTTGACATACATGTATGTCAACTCTTCCAATTGTACCAGCTTTAGCCAGTATGTCTAAATAGCTCTTTTCCTTACCATTCACTGTTTTTTTATGAAGTATCTTGCTCTATTGTTCCTTCTTCTTTTCCAGATATTTGCCTTATATCCGTACCATTTCTCAGTTCTCTGAAACTCTGTTTTGACTGATCAGGATATCCACCGAAAGTTTCAGATAATGGAAACAAACAAACAAAAACAAAAAACCCAAACAAACAAAAAAACAATCCCACAATTTAAAGTTAATAAGCCAGTGCTTTTCTCTCTTGGAAATATGATATGCTGACTTTTCTAATTTCAAACCAAATTTTAGAATACATTCTGATTTTTATTTTCTGATCTCTGAGTTCTCTTTGCCCTTTTTTGGAGCAGCCTAAATTTAATTAAGTAAATACTAAGGTAGTAAAAAAATTACCTGTTTGATACTAGCTTTTAAAGAAGCAACATCTTTTTTGAAAATTTCACTTAGCTACCACCTTTTTTTTTCAATATAAAGTTGGTACAATGTATGGATATCTAATTGCAGCAGCCATCTATGTTACTTTTGTCAATTTATGCCAAGAATCTTGACATCTCAGGGTTTTATTGGATTTTTTCTTCATGAATACTGTTGGTGGCATTTGAATTTACCTCTATGTGTATTTATATGTATACTAATCGTAAATTATTGGATGTATAAATATCTAGCATGTATATATAAAAGACATTCTGAAAAAGTGACTGCATGTATCTTGCATCATGTGGACAGTTCTGAAAAAATCCCTAATCATGACCTCACTCTTTATAGGACTGATAATTGCCACTTAATACAGGCACAATGACAGAGCAACAATAAAATCCTATTTCCAAATTGGTGCAGAAATCTGTTCTCAGGTTCTCTGTACCTTTATGATTGTCTGTACAAGTATTTAAGTCTCTGTCTACTCTTCTTTTGCTTATAGTTTGCAAATATCCTTTAGTAACATATAATTATTTAAAATATCCATATATAATCCATATCTATATATACTAATTTAAATATATATAATTATTTAAAATATCTAGCTTCTTTGTTTATTTGACATCCAAAGTCCAGATTTCTGGGATGCAGCATGATCCACTCTAAGATGTTAAGATGCCTTTTATTTCAGAAGAATGTCACCTTTGAGTCAGAATAGCCAGAATATTTCTTTTGCAGTGCATTTAAGGTCTGAATTATATCCTTAGTATTATCCTTAGTATGTCCTAGCATAGGTATTAGCACAAAGAGAGTATGTTAACAATGATTTCATGTTATGGATGTTTCCTTTCAGTTTTGTAATTGAATATTTAAATAGTACCTGGCCCTTTTCAACTAATTTAAAGGAAACCTGAGTGTATTTCTTTCTATGCATTTAAGTGGCAGACTCATTTTCCTCTTACTGTTTTTTCATCCTGCAAGTATTTGGCAGATACAGTATTTTCTTAATCAGTTTTTTCTTTCATTACCTTTTAAAAGCTTGCCAAATCATTTTAATACATCTAATTTCAACTTTATACTCTTATCTTTATCTGTGATCTCAGTAGAATGCTTGTGAATCATTCTGAGATGTGACAGCCACTGTCCAGTCAGAAGGATTACTCTCATTTTTTACGTCAATGTTTACTGACTGCTAATAACAATATCCAAAACTTTTAAGTTTTTCTATAATAAGATGTCATCATAATCATACTCTTCTGATTAATAACATAGTCTTCATTGAGATTGCCTGTTAGTGTTAAATCATTAAGACTACATTGAAATAGCTCTTAATTTTTATCAGGTCAAATGAGATAAGCTGGAGGAGGCTTTAATGTGGAAATAATGCCACAGAATTTATGACAATACATTGACAATATTGAAAGCAAGTGGAGAGAGCTCCACAAAAGTGCAGTTTTATTACTTTTTCACCACCTTTCTAGTGAAATTGGATCTCAAAACATACTGATACTCCAAGGGTGTTAGGTATTTTCATATGGTTCCAGGTTTTGTTCTTATGGTTCCTAGAAAGCTACTATGAAAACTCAGGGACAAAAAGAAAAGCAGGATAAAGTATTACAGAAAGGAATGTAAAAGCAACCAACCAATCAACAAAAAAGCAACTAACAAAACCAAAACTCATCTGAGTTGGCCCAACTGACTGGGCCATTTTTTTATAGTCTGATCATGATTTGATATACTGAATGTATATTATATCAATAGGCTGTTTTCTTCTTGACAGGCTGGTTGCATGGCGTAAGTTCAAGTTAGTAAAAGTTAGGGTCTTCCTGAAATGCCCATTATTTTAAGTGAAATTCTACACTTACAAAATAATATTAAGTTCAGAACTATAAATTGTTTCCATTACAGTGTTTGATTTCTGGAATGAATTTCTACTCAAGCCTGAGAGTAGATAAATAAATCTTCCATTGTTTAAAGAACCTTGCAACTTTTCTTATTTTCTCCTGGGCTTTTTTGTTAGATTTGATAAAATGTATGTCACAAAGTGTATGCTTGGGGTGTGCCTTCTGTGGGATTTGGAATTCATTTGAGTAGCCAAATAATAGCATTGTAGGGGTTGTGTACTGTGCTTATTTTGTCTCTTAAACCTATCCTCCAACAGGACAAGATGCCTATTGTTTCTTTACTTCTGTGTCCTCTTGTAACAGAATGAATATTACTGTAGGTTAGACTTCCTGTGGAAGAACAAGTTCAAAAAAGAGCGTGAGGAGATTGAAACCATGGAGAACCTAAATCGGGTGCTTCTGGAGAATGTGCTTCCAGCCCACGTAGCTGAACACTTCTTGGCAAGAAACCTGAAGAATGAGGTCAGCTGTCTCTGTATATCCTCTACTCTGTAAGAAAGTACCCTGGAAATACCATCTAATGCTGTTTTGAACAGTAGGTCCTTACAGTGAAAATATAAAATTACAGTCACTTTCATTTCCCCTTTCCTTCCTATAAGGTTAGCTTTACAGCACTGAATGCACCATAATAACCTGAAATAAAAAGGCAACATTTTCCTAAGTGGCAATGCACTTTGCCTATTGAAGGACAGTAAAAACAGGTGAGGAGGAGGAAGAACAGAATGGATGAATCAACATGCGTTTAATTTTAAATCATACGAATTGAGATACTTTTTCCTTCGTGATCAAAGTTGAAACCAGGTTCTGAATATTCTCCTGTTCGCTGGCAAGCTTGTTTATTAGAATGAAAATTAACCTTTTCCCTGAACCAGTGGCTATGTTAATTCTGGAAAGATGTTCTGAATTACCTGCTTACTCACTGCTTAATGGACCTAATCCAAGCACCAGAAAAGTCACCTAAAAGGTCCATTTTTACTCTTCTGGAAACTAGATTTGCTCCTAATATTCCTTTACAGTAATAATAAAGAAAATAAAAATCAGTAAATAAATAAATCCATTTAGAGAGAGTAACAGCTATAGAGATCTTAAATGTAAGAGTTTGATTTACTTGTGCATGCCAAATAATTGTTTCAAAACTGACAAAAGAGCGCAGATATAGGGATTCATTTTTGATCTTCTGAGCCAAAAAGGACAACATCTTTCTTCCCTTTCACGGTGGTTTGCATTAAGCAGTACTAATCAGGACTGCATTTCAATACTTTAGTATTCCCTGCAAATATTCATTTGGTAGCTAACGTCGAACAAAAGTTGCTGTGGGGTTCCTTTGAATGCAGTGAAGATGCTAGCTGGAAGCAAAGTTGACTCAGCTCCAGTTCTCAGTTCTCAGCAAACCATCAGCAAACCATCAGCAAACCATCAGGAGATTGCTTTTTTGATTATGTGCTACTCTACCTCAGCTCGCCAGCAGTGCAACACCATCTGCTTACCTTTGTATTGACTACTGGATTTGTCTTGTCTCCCCTTAAGATTCTTAGATTGAAATGAGTTTATTTAATTTAATGAAGCACAGAAATGGTAATGTGCTGAGCTCCCTAACTCATGTCAGGTGAAGTAAAAAATATTTTACATAATTTTAATGACATCCATTAAAAAAACCCCGAAAACTCAAGTTGTTCCTTGTTTTGTTTCTTTCTACAGTTTTCAAAGGAAGGCCCATTCAAATCTCTGATAGTATTCAGAAATAAAAGTATCTGTCATGTCTTCAGATTTGTTTCAATGTCAGCAAGGTTGTGTATGTAGATACACCTAAAGATGTTAGGGCAGTTACACCTTTGTTTTCTCTGTGTGGATACCTAAGTCAACAGATACGACATTGAAATTTGTCCACATTTTCCTTAGCTCCAAACATTCAAGTTAGTATAGATTTACGTGTGTTCTCTTCTATTTAAAACAAATTCCGAGATTAAGAAGACAGATGAATATTCTATTTCAAAATACTACGTCCCTTAATATTTTGCATGCAGCTGTATGGAGAAAAGGGAAAACAAACTGTGCTGCTGAAAAAGAAGGCAGGCAGAAAAAATGGAAAGGGAAAAAGTGAGTGGATGAATGCTAATGGGGAGCAGCAGGACTGTAGTTTCAAATGACCATTATAGCAGGATATACATTGACTAGCGCTAATACACCAAAAGCAAAGTTCCTTCAGAGCAAATAATAAAGGTTTGTTTCCTTTACTAGAACCTCCAGAGCTGGGTTTCTGCTTATGGTCTACATGCTGGATACAAGACAGGTTATTTTCCAGTTGAGAGAAAGACGGGCTCAAATCTAAAATGAAAAGTAGGAAAGAGGGACAGGATTCAATATATCTGCACTTGGCTTTTGCAGTTTTCTCTTTAATGCTTTTATCCTTCAGATTCTCTATTAGTAAAAAGTGCTCGGGAGCTTTTTTGCTGCAAGCTAACTGGCAAGCCCATCACTGAGCAAGAGGAATTGTGCTTTATGAGCTACAGGATGGAGCTAGCACCTTACTTAGAGCAAAAATTCTGCCCCAGAGAAGCTGACCACCATAGCCTTCCAAGGGATAGAATTAGACTGGTTTTCCTTCTTGATCCCAGGAAGATCTTCAGGCACTGGAGATGAGGGGACAGTAAAAGGAACATAATTTGCAGAATTTCAGATGTTATTAAAGAGGAAAAAGGCTTGAATGCAAAGGACAGGGTGATTTTGTTTTTGTTAAAATAAGAAAAGCTGTTCCTTCCTAGAATGGTAATGCATTTATTTTTATGACTACACATTTTGGAGAGTACTGTTTCAAGAGAAGAACTTTCAGGAAAATTAAGGCACTCAGTTGTAACATCCTATATTATTTTGATCTAAATAAACTAGCTGGGGATGACTCCTTAAAATTCTCTGAAATTTATTGTGATAGTCAGAACTACTATTCATCTGGTTATAAATAGTTATATATCTGGTTATATCTTGTTGTTTCCATGATGGTGCTATGTTATTGAGCATTATGGATATTGCCCCAGTATTAGATAGGAAGGAGGACAAGTAGGTTGCTATAGCTGAAGTTACAGGGAAGGTGACCTGAGGAAATAGAAGTAAAGCTGAGTTAACCACAGAATGTAGTCTCTGTACCTTGCTAGGGAAACACTCCCATCTGACCATCCAGGAGCTACTCTGGCAGTCACACCTACACCACCTGAGCTGGGACCGAGTCCCCTTCACAGTGGGCAGCTCCAGTGAGCCAACAGGTGCCCCACCTGATTCTCCACACACAACACACTCACAGTCAGACCAGATTTCCTTACTGGCTTGACCTCTGGGTTCAGTCACAGAATTCTGGATTTAATCATTTTGCAACAAGAGAGTAAAGCTTGAGCTGTGAATCACAACAATATATCCCATCCCTACAGCACACAGTCGTGATGGAGCTTCAGCAATCCTATAGATATAGAATCCTTTGAAAACACAGGATGCACAAAAATCTAGTAATAAATAATTTGTCTCATCCAGCTGCTCGTGTTCCTGTCTGTCTGTCATTATTTTCATGTTTGCTCAGAAACTTCCTTCACACCTGTGATGGGATGAAACAGTCAGCAGTTTTCCCATCACTCTGTTATTTTTTAGTTATACATCAGCAGTTAAGATCCTCCATGTCTGTCCACATCTGTGTACAGGCACACCACATTCTTCCAAAAGGACACACTGACTGTCAAATTGCAAAACCCAAGTTTTTCTAAGTAAAAAGGGAAATAATATCTTATGCTTCTTGAACTCACAGAATAAATTCTTTTCATGTGAGCACTGAAATCCCTTTTTACTCAAATAACAACTTGAAGGTAGTTTTACATTAGATAACAGCCTGTGCTAGTTTTGCAGTATTTGATATTTAGTAAAAAAGAAAAAATATTTATAAAAGTTATTTTTTTGAAAGAAGCTGCTGAGAGTTTTTTCTGTGCTTAGAAAAAACTAATAGCTGACTAATTTTAAAAATAAACAACTGATAATACTATTAAGAAGCTAGATTTGCCTCTATGAGGTTTACATTCTAAAAATAAACAGGCCTTTTTTTTACTTCTGGCTTTGAAAGGTAACTAAGCTCTAGTAGAGCTAGCCCTGCACTTCCTGTGCCCTGCAAGGCTTGGGGAGAGCCGGGCTGGACCCCAGAAGCTCCTGTGTGTGGTACAGGAGGCCAGAGGGCCCCAGGCTGGTCTGGGCTACAGCCGTAAATATTTTGCTAACACAGCTTTTTTTTTCTCTTGGCTTGGGCAGAGCCAGGGTTCACTGGGCCCTAAGCTGAGCTAGGCTTTTCTTTTCTTCCCAGCAGCTGCTGGGCAAAGAGAGGGGCCCAGCATAGCCTGAAATTTATTACTGTGACTGCTGCAGCTACTGCTTACAACTATCTTTAGGCTTGGGAGAGATATTAACTCTTTTACTACACAGATGACACTTGCAGACCCTGATCTTTTCTCAAAGAAAAAAAAAGTAACAACACATAAAAAAACAACATGAAAACAGCAAGGTCAGTAGAAAAAAAGTCAAGCTTCAGATAGAAAGAGAATGAGAAGATGTTTTAATTGAGCTAAAAGTTCTTTTAGTAAGACTATGAAAATAAACAATAATACACTGAAATATTTCAATCTGTGAGAGAGTATAGAAAGATAAAGTATTCAAACTGTAAATGGGAGCAAATGTATCCATGAGAAACCAAAATAAATGCTAAATAGACTGTGATCCCATGAAAAGCTTGAACAGAAAAAAAGAGAGTGATAAAAATCCTTTGACTCCAGGGAAAAAAATAAAATACCTGTATTCTCAGAAACAAAAACAATTGCAGAAGTAGATAAAGAAAACCTTTGTTTTTAAACAGCCCATACTTAAAATAATACCCCATAATTTGATGTGGCCCATAAATGCAGCTGTAAAAGGTTGTGAAAATGAGAAGAGTTTTCATGACTGCAAATCTTTCCCCAGGCAGCTGCTATTCATAAAATCAAAAAGGCAGAGAGAACTGTTTCTTGTAAAGAAGTCTCCATAGCATTACAAAAAAAAAGGTTCCTCTCCCTATAAGAACTAATAAAAAACTATTGTAAATTTAGAAACTAATTCAAAATCCAAAATTTGTCTCTACATTATCAGTTAAGAAATAAAAAGAAGTCAGGCAAGGGGAGGAAAAAGTTCTAAAAGTTTTATTCTAATGCTTCTAATTCTTTTAGTCTTGTTAATAAAATTTTCTGTATACCTTTTAAGTTAATATTTATTTTTCCTTTCTCCTAATCCATATCTCACAACAAAAAATAAGTAAGTACACTAGTAATTTTAGCCAGCACTAAACCCACCACATTATTTAGTGCATTAGCCAAGAAACTCAAATTCACTAATCTAAACCATTACACAGCCTCTTTTATTGCTGTGTCTACCTTTGTTTATAGAAACTATTTATTTTTTAAGTATTAGTTTAATAAATTTTCTTTCTTTCTGCCTTTTTTGGGGGGATATAAATTTATCCTGAAAGAAGAGATAGTCTAATGTTGAAGGGCAGTGGAGAGGAAACTGAAGGGGTAGTAGGAGGTAGTCATTTTTAGCACCAGAATCTTTCTGTGGAGTAGAGATATTCTCATTTCAGAAGGCACTGCAGACTGCCATAAGTAAGTTTCAGTTCAGGTGACTTCTTTCTTTTTGCCCCAGCTCCTTGTTATGCAAAAGAAAGTGTAATTATTTTGACCTCTTAGGCATATTGTCATTTTAAGTTAGGAACTATCAATCAGGGTCATACTGCATTATGCATTTGTAATACAATGAGTTTGTGATTTTGGTTCAGTTTTTTAGTCAGTACAATAACAAACAGCTAATAATAAATTGGATATTGTTTTACAAAATACATTTTCAGCCATGCAAGCCATACTAAATTCTCTTCATAAGAAGTCTCAGAGATGGGCTCTATCTAATAATTTGTGAACATTTTGTTGAAATAGAGTTAATGTTCAGGAAGAAAAAAAATCATTACAGTATTTTCAGCCTTATATATTGTCTCTTTTATGAACAGGTTGATGCAATATTTAAAATTAATAAATGCAACTAAATGCAAAAAACATCCAACCTCCCTCTTAAGGAATTCTAACTACTGCACACCTCTGTTTTTAGATCCTAGACACAGCATGTTAATAAGGAAACATATTTACAGCTGGGTATGATTAATTTTTTTTCTTCATTCTGTTTTCTTTACAGGATCTCTATCATCAGTCATACGACTGCGTCTGTGTCATGTTTGCCTCTGTTCCAGATTTCAAGGAATTTTACACAGAATCTGATGTAAATAAGGAAGGGTTGGAATGTCTTAGGCTGCTAAATGAGATCATTGCGGACTTTGATGATGTATGTTCCTACAAGAATGATTGACATATGGTTTCAATCTTACTAACTCATGATATGCAACAGTCAGAAAACATACTTGAAGTGGAGAGTGGAAAAGCTGTCAGAATATACTTATGGGGACTATTAACGGAAAAAAGAGATTTATGTGGAATAAATCAGATAGTGATCTGATATCATATTCAATTGCTTTTTATTTGCTATAATGAGAATCCTATGTGTACTTTTTTTTTTTCCCTTTAGCTGCAGCTCTTGAGGCAGTTACATTAAATGTTATGTATTAACCACAGGTTCTAAATACGAATGTGTAAAGTCAGGTATAACTTTGTGTTATACATTTGATACAAGCAAATCAAAGGATTATAAAAGTGTTAATATCCCATTCTCTGAAGTCAGAAGCAAGTAGAGAGCATGACTACAGATGGACAGGGAAAAGGCATCTGTAAAGTTCTCACTGAAAACATTTCTGTATAAGGAAGTTAACTCAGAGTGCAGTGTGAATTTGTGGATCTGCAGCTATAGAGAGTATTTTAGCAGTAAACCCATTTGGAGAGCATTGGGTGCCCAATATTCAAAACAAATTGGGATATATGAACTAAAATCCTTGGTTTTTCACCTCATTGACATGGACTATTCCACTGGCATAGAATAAATGCTTACTTTCAGAAAGCTGCCTAAAGCTTAAATGTTGGCTGGCATGGTGATCCAGTTCCAATATCACATGAGTGCAAAGTCTACTGACTTTTAAAACCTTTATGTAAAATAAGATAGGATTTATTCTCACTGCTATAAATTTCATCCCTTTTAAAAAGGTATTTTAGAAGACAGAAATCCCCTTTCCTTGGAGTTCTATAGCCACTGTTTTATCTACCTTTAAGTCCTTCATTCTGTATATATTTGTGAAACCATTTGAGGTCCATACAGAAACTGTTCTAAGAGTTGATTCTCTGGTGTTAAGAGTAACAGGGCTGCTGATCTGAATAATGAATGACTGTCCTTGTTTTACAGTTATTGTCAAAGCCAAAGTTCAGTGGTGTTGAAAAGATAAAGACCATTGGAAGCACTTACATGGCAGCAACAGGACTGAGTGCTACACCCAACCAAGAGCAGTGTCAGGTACAGGAAAATGTTTCTGCTTAACAAAAAGCATACTGAAATGAAGGCTAAAATTTTGTTCACTAGGCTGCAGGTTATATATATAATGTGGTCTAGTTTTTTTCTTATTAGCATAGATTGTATTGTACTGGACAAGTATATACTTTAGCAGTCTGTGAATTTTTATTCATATTGCAGTTTGAAAATTCCACCTGTGTGTTTGCTAAAACAGGCTTTCTACTCAAAATACAGTACAGCATTTTATTCCTATGTGCTGCATCAGGACTGGATTTACAGAGCATACAAAAGATTGCAAGAGTTAATGTTTTCCATTGAGCTGGGAGGGAGATTTGCTTTAGTAACTATACACCTATAGAACCCTCAGACTCAGCATTGCAAATATGTTCCTTTGTTTCTAGTTTACTTAATATGGTAGGATTAGGAACTGCAGTCAGTGGAAATCCAGTTCAGAGAAGGAGTTCATAACTTATTCAAAAACTTTGCTTTTGCCTTGATCTTTAGAGTACTACGGGATAGTGTGAGAGAGAGACAGCAATTAAGAATCACCAGTCTCTGCTAAGGATTAATATGCTCTTGCCAAATTCATGTTCCTTCTAAACACAAGCAATTACCACATGAACTATAGACCCTAAGGATCCTGAAGACAAGGAATTATTTTAAATTAGCTCTGATATTTAATACAGGGAGGTGAAGGGAATGAAGAAAATGCAGAACTTGAGACTGAAGATGTGAAGACATAGAGAGCTCTCCATCACAACTAAAACTAGTGTATTCAGAGGAAGAAATTTATCATTTGAGTGATTTCCACAATCAGGAGATCCACAGTTAGCATTCCTTTGGTGATTTAGTTCACATTCTCAACATAAATCCACAACTCAGCAGCCTTCAGTTTCTTCCAGATTCTCAAAGATGCACAGATCCTGCAGTATCTACTGTGGCAGCAACTGACTGGTAGACATACTGCTGGGAACCACCTCCAACTTAAAATATGCATCCAAGGAAGACTAAGTTTCTAGGAAAAGGGTCTGAACCGGTCCATCTGTTTTATCTAAGAGTGAACTCTGAAGAAAACAGATTTCATTTACCTAAACAGCTGTTCCAGCAAGCACCACTACTGTCCCACCCTAGGTTGATGCATGCACTCCATGAGTCATCTCTGAAGTTGTCATCTGTCCATCTCTTCTGTCCCTTTATCTCAAGAAATAGGGAAGATTCAGTAATTTTTCTCATAGAGATTAAGAAGTCCATGTCTTACGAAATCATTCACTTACTCACAGATCGTACCATAGTCTGTGGGACACAAAAATCCATTTTCTCTTCAGCCTGAAAGGACTCAAAACAGCACTTAAAATCAGGCTACTTTGTTATGTATGAGGAAAGATTAAGTCTACAGCCTTGATAAGTGGTCTAAGCTCTGTAAATAAAAGGGCAGAGTGGGGTTGCCCTCTTCCTCTTGTATTTTAGTCATTTTCAGGTCTGTTAAATGTTCTCAGAGGTATTTGCTTATCTGCAAGATGAGATCAGTGGAAGAATTCTTAAAATTGTGAATTTCACTGGATCTTTAGCATTTTATAAGGGTGCTGAGCTGTGCAACAGTGAGAGGGAAGAAACTCTGTGGGGTTGTCCACAAGCATTATTTATTATGAAAGGGAATACAATAGAAGCAGACACTTAGAGAAAATGAATTAAATTCTAGGCACACAAAGATGTTGAGTGCCTGCAGCATTAGATAGCAGGTAATCAGTCACTTGACAATCAAAAGGCATGGTTTGGATCTATCACCTCTAGACTGCCTGGTAGTACAGAAGTGAAATGCATGCTGTCTCTTGGCCATTGTTTGATCTAATGCTGGACAGGATACCTTCTACATTACTTCTCTACATCTGCCTGCTGACACTAGGACATTCCTAAGGGCTTAAGTGTCTTCAAGTGTTCAGCATATTTTGGTTGTTATTCTCACAGTAACCAAGGCTCACAAGAACAATTTTACACTATTTGTTTGTCTTTTGAATTCAGGAACCTGAACGACAGTATATGCACATAGGAACTATGGTGGAGTTTGCATTTGCCTTGGTGGCAAAACTGGATGTCATAAACAAGCATTCATTCAATGACTTCAAGTTACGAGTAGGTGAGTATCACAGGATTCTTAGGAGAATATCATGGTCAATGGGGAGAATTCAGTGCAAACTACCAGCTGATTAAAAGAGTGGTAGAACTAACTAAAAGAGCCATGATAGTAAAATCACCATCTCTACCCTGTTTAAAACGGCCTACATGGTACTGCCCACACAACCCCCAGTGTTTCAAGGTTTAAAAAAAAAGGCAGTATTCCTATTTAAAGAATGGCTGAAAAAAAGTGTTCACATGGCTCTGAATGGTTTTATGGTAATTCTGTAAAAATTATTGTAGAGGTTATAAGCCATACATTTTTGGAAGTTTATAAAGACCAAAAGAATACCCAAGAAAGAAGCCCAGACTGGGCTTTGCAAAACTATATAAATGGTTTTTCAGAGGACAGGAGTTTAAATAACTCCAGTGAGGCTGGAGTTTGAAATATTTTACATGTACTAGATTCAAGCAAGAACACAAAAATGCATCTTTCCTTTGCAGTGTTAGACAAGGGAAAGTATTTGTCTTTGTTATTCAGATAATACCAAAGATGACTAGCTATTTCTTTTGGAAAGAGGCATCCTGTATGTTTCAGTTTCTAATTGCTTCTTCTTGTTTATCCTGGTATTTTTAAAAATAAATAGACAGCTGCAGTAAGCAGTAGAAAGAACAATGAAATAAATTAATTCAGAGCTGGTCAAGAACCATATGTTCCAAAATGTTTATTTCCTGATAGCAGTGCACAGCAGTTTCACAATGCAATATGTAACATGGAAAGTGTGAAATGAAAACAATAAGCAAATATTGAAAACCCATAAATTCTGTGTACGTGTCAAAAATATTTGATTTCCAACCATTATTCTCCTGTCTTGTCTTTTTCTTGCTGTGCCACTTGTTCTTCCTTTTCAGTTACTCCTTTCAAGTCTATTTCACAGTGCCACCCACTGGCAAAACTTGCTGTCTTCTGCCTCTGGCTTTTTAGGGTACTCCTTTGCAAGTATGTTTTGTATTCCTTTCTAAAGCTAAAAATAACAAGTCAAATCAGATGTATGCTTCTTGAGAAGCATACTTCTTAACAGTGTTACAGAACTTGATGGTTCTTGCCTTAGCTGACATGGCACATACTTGCAAACACATTTGTATCATCAGCTTCAATACAGACAGAGAGCTGCTGGATGCCGGGGCTGCATCTGCAAATTGTTTAAAGGAGTACTGAGTCCTTTTAAGTGGAGATCATGAAGCAAAATAAAACGCTCAGTTTGGATTTTTACAGTTCTTGCTAAAGATTACAGAGAACTCAGACTCCTTTGCTTCATAAAATGAGAAAACATTTTAACTCTAAAAGAAACACAGGCCCCAAAGTGGTATTTGTGCCACCATAATCCAACATAGACACCACAGAGATCTTCATTTTTGCTGCACTTCTTCTCTACTTCCCACTGGATGATGAAAGCCTCTGATATCCATACTAATTATAGCTACAGAAGCATTTTAACAACTACTTCTGACTTAGTCCCCACTGTGAGGACTTGTACCCAAACTGCCCTTTGTAAAAGCCTCCCTTGGCCAGCATCTAACTCTGAAATTTTTGCAACTCATAAGAGGTCTCAGCTTTCATAATTTTCTGTGAGTGCCCGAAATGATAGCGTGATTTAGGAGGTACACACTGCTCTGATTTTGTCAGGCAAGAGAGGGGAGCATCTAGATGATATTTTAGGCATTCCTTCCCTTCTCCAAGTCGAGGTGCTTGATTTATGAGACGAGCTTAGATACGCTTTGCAGCAGGTTTTGCACAGGTATTGCTTTCTTTCAGAGGAGAGGCCAGTATGCTGTTTTACATATAACTTCATAGTTAGAACATTTTAGTCTGTGTGTTAGGCGACTTCATTTGGTTCCTGGTTTTGCGTGAAGCTAGGCCATGAGCCCATGCTATAGGATACTTCAGAATGATATATTCTCTGTCATTCCTGCTGCTGAACAGTATTGCATTCCATAGAATGAATGATTAAATATTGTTTTGGATATGAGAGAAAGAGATGATTTCACCCTCTTTTAGAGCATTCACCTGTAGTGAGAGTACTACTCTTCCAGCCTTGCCCCAGCAAACATTCATGTCATGCAGAAAAGACCAACACCAGCAGGAATGATTTAGAGAAGCACAATGCTTGAGTGGCCAGAACACACTCCTAAGAGACACTGGTAGAAGTTCTCTCAGAGGAGGAGGGATCTGAAGGTGACTCTTGAGCCCCTGAGGTATTTCTCAAACCAGCAGCAGTGGTGGTTAAGGAAGGAGGTAAAAAAAAAGTAGTCCCTCTCAAACCACTGTATTTTGTAGAAAGTTCTACTGCATTGCCCCAGTTTCTGGACCATGGCCACACATACCTCTTCAATATTCCCTACTAGCCAGATTGGACTACCCAGCAGATGACTTTTATAGATTCCGCTCTTAGTTCCCCAGTGCTTTCTACAAGTTGTGTGTCATGAAATAGAAAAACCCATCTATGGCTCAGTTGTTAATACAAACTGTTGCAAGGCCCCAGTCCCTTTGTGCATTTAACCCCAAACACTTAGACAAATATATATCAGTTTCCATTTTTTATCTTGTAGTGTTTGCATATTTTCCCAATTTAACTTCTACAGTCAATTTTTCAGGGCTTCCAAGTGGGCTGGTTGTGTAATTGCTAGCCTGCGCTGCCATGTTACATACCAGCTGAGCCATCTTTGAGACCCCTCTCCATCATACAATCAAATATTGCTGCATGGATATATCCCTAAAGATGGTTTCTGTCAATGAATTAACAGAAATTAGTTATGATCCATTGAGATAAATTTAGAAATCCAAATAACTCATTTGTTCAGGCTTTATTTCTCATTAGGCCTAACTTGGCTTTCCTGCTCATCAGTATGTACAGCTACAGTTATAGTACATTTGATGCTGGTTAACAATAGTACTTTGGATTTAGCCTCCTAGTTTCTTTCCCTACTAGCAGAGTACAGCTCACTGCCTTCACAGATGTAACATAGGTTACAAACTGACTGAAAGATAAAAAATGCCCAGTCTAATGAGGGACTATATTGCTCTGTCATATACTATGCATAAGCTACTGTGTGCTTAATCAAATTATTTGAATAAATATATTTATACTGCAGATCTTTAGTACCATTTATGTACCATTTATGGTACTTTAGAACATTCTATATGGTCAGTCCAGCCTTCCGAACAAGGCTTCAAATCCCCATGCTCATTTGCACTAGTTTATTCTACATTTAAGAAGCAAAGAAGCTATAAAAGTAACTTGATTTGGCTGTCAACTATTGCAGAGAGAAGTCCTTTTCACTACAAGTAGAAATTAAAAGAGATTCTTGTATATCTGTTTTCCCAGAGGCTGCTGCTCAACCCACAGTGTGGTGTTCATGCTACATAATAAAGGTGGCAGCAGGTTATTAAGATGCTATTGGTTAAAAATAAAAAATTACTCAGGAGGGGAGGGAGCTGTAAAATTAAGATTAGATTAACTGACTTCTGGCATTTTTATAACTAACATTCTCCTGCTGTAAATGGTTGATAAAACCATGGTGAACAACTGTTTGCTGCTGTACTCACTATTCAGCGAGGACCAAATGCTGCATTCATTGACTTGCTATTTGCCAGATGCACTGTATGTCCTTGTTTGGTGGATTTTCACAGAATCACAGAATCACAGAATCAATTAAGTTGGAAAAGACCTCTGAGATCATCAAGTCTGATCAATGACTGAACACCCCCATGTCAACTAGATGGGGGCATGGACATAGCACCAAATGCTATGTCCAGTCTTTTCTTAAACACCTCCAGGGACAGTGACTCCACCACCTCCCCAGGCAGCTCCTTCCAATGTCTAGTCACCCTTCATGTGAAGCAATTGTTCCTAAAATGATCACCTAAATCTCCCCTGGCACTGCTTGAGACTGTCGTCTTAACCTGGCACTGCTTGCCTGGGAGAAGACAGCAACCCCCACCTGGCTACAGCCTCCTTTCAAATAGCTGTAGGGAGTGATAAGGTTTCCTCTGAGCCTCATTTTCTCAAGGCTAAACAACCCCAGCTCCCTCAGAGGCTCCTCACAGAACTTGTGTTCCAGGGCCTTCACCAGCTTTGTTGCCTTTCTCTTCATTGGTAATGTCAAGGTTCTGATATTTTCCAGGTATAAACCATGGACCTGTAATAGCTGGAGTAATTGGAGCTCAAAAACCACAATATGATATATGGGGCAATACAGTAAATGTGGCCAGCAGAATGGACAGCACTGGTGTCTTAGATAAAATACAGGTAAGTGTTGATGTTGTGCTAGTGGGCTTTCATCTAAAATGGCAGAATGGCCTAAAGTTTGATTCACCAACAGTTATGTGAGAAACTGGCAACAGCAGCACTGAAAGGTGATGCTAACCATCACCTTACTATCACTTCATTTAAATAGCCTTAGTTGTTGTAGAAAAATAGGGAAGCTTGGGTCTACTCAAGTGAAAACAAGCTCCTGAAGTTGAGGAAAGTGCTGTGTTAGGAAGAGTATTGTCCCTAGCTCCATTTAGCTATCTACAGGCTCTCTGCTGGCAACCCTGGGTACAAAAGTGGTTACACCAGATTTGATACTTGATGTAAGTGATTAGAATGGGCATCCAACAACAGAGTGCTTGAAAGCTTAGGTGTTCAAAGCTCACTTGAGACACTTAAAGACCTTTTAAGCATTACAGAAAACCCCTTATAACTGAATAGAACATTATGTTATCTTCACACTCTGGAAGAAGATTTTGCTCTGCTTTGTTATCAACACTGTCTGTATTACTGTATTGTTGCAGGTTACAGAGGAGACAAACAACGTCCTGCAAACACTGGGGTACATGAGCACCTGTAGAGGAATAATAAATGTAAAAGGAAAAGGAGAATTAAAGACATACTTTGTACATACGGAAATGACAAGATCCGTGTCACAAGGGAACATGGCATCTTGAAGATGCTTTTACGTGTCAGCAGTACTATATTTTCAGGAAAGTATCACGCACTTTTTAACTACATTTTGGCCCTTAACATGCGTGCTATTTTCTTGTATGTGGCACTTATTTTAATATGGCTGCAGAATAGTCCCATGAGCCATCATTTCGCACCTCGATATTTCTATGTTCAAGGACAGTTGTGATGTATGCGATAGGACTGCAAGATTGTACTGCTACTTGCACTGTTATTCAAATACAAGAAAAGAAGGAATAGGAATCAAAAGGAGGTTACACATCCTGAAAGGACTAAAGAGAAGTGTTAGTGACAAATGTGGGGGAAAAAAGGCAATAAAGCTAGGGGTGCATACTATTTTCTGATGCATGGTGTTTTCTGGAAAATACAGTCGCTCCTCAATACCATCCACTAATATGGTATTAAAGTATACAGTATTGTAGATAAGTTTACTCTGTCCACACATGATTTGGATGTGATCACCAGTTGCATCTCATAGCCAGGGACACGTTGGGTGGCTTGCTGGCATTCTTTCTGACGAGAGAACTAACAATGCTGGAATAGTTTTGTACAAACGTGTCAAATGTTTTGAAGCTATTGTATTTTGTAAGGTTAACTCATTAAAAGTTTATATGTACTTTGTCTTACTGTTGCTGTCTCTTAGTTTTGCTTCCTTTCTTGTCTTCTGTCACTTTGAAGCTGTGTGTTTTCTGCTGCTGCCACTGCTTTTTATTCAGTAGCTAGATGTTGAGGCAGGCTGTGGCCAGCTATCTCAACAGCCTTGGTCAATAATATCTGCTAGACTTGCTACTGCCTTTCAGAAACTGTCACTTCTGTTGTCTTCAGTCATGGGTGGCATGCTCGACACTTTGCAGTCACTATCTAGGTGATACAGAAGACTGACTCAAATCCATAAACACAACCAAAGTGAGGGATACTGACAACAGTAGCAGTGCTGCTACCTAACTGGCCTGGAGTGCTTAAACAGGAGAAGCTGTACAAGAGAAGAAAAAGTTCTGTTTTGCACTTTGACAACCTCTTTTGCTATTGTATGCATTTCACTTAACCTTCACAACACTGGATTTTGTGGGATATTTAAAGTAATAATCTAATTTATACTTACTAGGATATGAGTAAAATGCTATTTTGTGGGTATTTCAGATTAATTTAAATCCCTTTGAATTCAAAGGTATCATACTTGCAGAGTTTCATAGATGAGCCAGGTGACAGCAAAAGTAGGTAATTTTACTATCAATTCTCCTTTGAAGCACAGATAGTAACAATTAAGTTTTGCATTGTTGTAATCAATTCCTTCAATCATGGCATTCTAACAATAATACTATTTACAAAATAGCATATAATTACAAGATTTTTTTTCTGAATGATACCATATGAATATGGAAATCAACTCATGCACGTCTGGCAATGTTATTGAAATGTAAAAAGTATTCAGACTGCTCATTCATGAAACTTACATATATACATACATATACATTTGTATAGCATTGGTATCCCTTCTGAAGTTCTCAGAACTGTGGGTCCCAAATACATGGCGTCAGTCCAGTCTCACTGAATGTGGCAGTTTACTCACATCAGCCATCTGCTCACTAATGAACTGGAATGACAGTACATTTCAAAGTGCCTAATTTGCTGTAAAACAGACAATCTGAATTTTGATCACCTTAAGCAACTCTAAAAGCAAAATGTAACTTACTTCACTTAAGTTTGACTTAACATACTTGATTTTTCATCCAGTCCTGGAGACTTTTAAATAATAATTTTCAAGACAGGTGCTCAGTCTAATAAAATCTCATGAAAAATATTTTTGTTGTCTTTATGATTTCTTCCTTTTAATTATTAAGTATTATTTAATTATTAAGTATTTATTCCTTTTAATTATTAAGTTTTCCAGTGGAATTAAAGACTTTCCAAATAGCTCACATGGCTGCAAAACCAATGTCCCAGTCATTGACTAGCTGTCAGTTAGCTGTCACTTAAGATTTCTCCAAAATCCCTCCTTGCCTATAAATCTGTCTTAGGAACACTGAAATAAGTTATTATCATCTCCTTCTTAGACTTTGAATGTACTCTGGGCCTTTAAAATCAGTGTGGCACTACCACAGGTCAATGCAATAATTTCTTACTGTGGATGAAAACTCTTATTATATTGACACTATTATATTGTCATATATATGTGCTGCTTTCAGGTATAACCTGTGCATTCAGGATTTTGCTTTCATTTGTATTCTTGCACATCATTAACAAACCTTGTACCTAACTCCATAGTCTTGTTTCTATGATTTTTATAAAAGTTAAACAGTATTATTTCTGTAAGCTATGAAATATTAAAACATTTGAATGGTGGGGAGCTGACTAGTCCAATGAAATATAAAGAAAGGTATATGTGTCCTCCAAGAGCATGTTGAAAATGCCCATGTTCAAAGCATTCATATTTCACTGGTGTTCTTCTCTCATTTTGTAATTGCATTTACATTCTTGCAGCCAAATCCTACTAAAGAACACGAAAGTGGGCAAAAGATACATGTATCTTTGCCCCGACAAAGAAAGGTGCATACCATCCTCTCTACCTTCAGTTGCTGAGTATTATTCTTCCTAGTGCTGAGAAGCCATTTGTATTTAATAAATACCTCTTGTCTTCCAATGCATTTTACATGTTTATACTGGCTTATTTTTCCTCTGTCTAGATTCACTTATGAAAATAACTTAATTTCCTCCTCCTGCAGCAATTTTGGCCTCTGTAACTGGATATAACACTATTCATGTATCAGCTCATAGCCTGAAAAACTTTATGATAATGATGTAAACATTCCATATATTCCATATCATGGTAAGATTCATCGAGTTCTACAACTTCCATGTTGGTGACATAGTTCACAGCTCGCTAGTGAAACTAGTGGGACTTCCAAAAGTACAATGGAAACTCATTTCACACTGTAAGGCAGCAGCCAAAAGATCAGTGTAAGAGTGATTCACTGTGGTCTGGGAAAATCAAATGGGAACACCTGGTAAGCCTGCTGGAATTGTTTTTCCAAGACAGTGCTTTGCTCCAATTTATGGAGGGCTACCAAAGGACAGGAAGAAAGATGAGACTTGCAGATGTTTTTATAAACTATGAAAATAGTTTGGATTACGTGTAAATAAATACTATTTAGCTGATGTTTCTAAAAAGAGACATTAGTGTCTTATTTATGCTATGTGAAAAGCATTTTTCATTTTCTTATATTCATATATGCTTCCTCCAATTTGTAAAATATCCTCCCTTTTTCCACTGAGACACAAGTAGTTCAGCCTGATTGTCTCTAAAGTAATGTGAGGGAAGACCTGTTAAGTCACTGTTAAAATATATTATTAGCTTGTACTTTAATACATAGTTTTCCTTCTTGTTGTGGTTATGTATGAACATACACTAATTTTTATTTTTCAGATAGCAGATTCTAGGTGTAAATATCCTTCAAGATTTTTTACAGGTGAACCCCAAACAATTTTAAGTCTAGGGATTTTTTGTTTTATTGTCTTCGTTTTGGAAGACAGGTGTCTGCTAGGGAGGGCAGGAGCCTCCCTTGGCATGAAAAATGTATACCACTCTCTCCTAATTACTATAATTTTGAAATCAAGGTGCTCTCAGGCAAAGATATGGGGATAGGAATAACAGTTCTTTACTAGTATGTATAACAAGGCAAACAAACAACAACTATGGCATTAATAACAAAACAGAACCAGGGACCCCATGACAGCCTTCTCGGCCGAGACAGGAAAGGATGGAAGAGAGGCTTTGCTTCACAAACCCCCTCAGGCAGTCAGTCCCCGTGCTCCTGCAGCGCTCTGTGGAACAGCCAGCTGGAACGGCAGGAATGAGCAGAAATCCCGGGCAGCTGGATGAGGTGTATCAGAGGCTCCGTGGCGATGGCTGGCACGGCAGCACGTCCCGGCAGTACAGGGGGTGCAAGGCCCACAAACAAAGAAGCAGCAGCCGCTCTGTCTGGGCTATGGCAAATTCCTTTTTCCAAGTGTCTGTCCTGCTTGGAAAAAGAACCAGCTTCCCTACCACAGCTGCCCTCACCTTCTCTTTTACCTGCCCTCCCTTCCTCCCTGGGCCCAGCCAAGTATCAGCAATCAGGTTTCCCCACAACTAATGGGAAAAATTCCATAGGTGAGAAGGAAGGACACCTAACCCTGAACATTTATTCTTCATTTTTTGAAGAGTGATTCTGAGGAGAAAATATAAAATTGTAGATGTATGTGCCTTAAATAAAACATGTAACTAAGAGATAATTTTCTGTTCTTTGAAGTAATTCAGATTTGTCTGGATTTGTCAAAAGCGGTATATAAATCAACTATAATTAGTTCACCCTAAAGTTTGCCACTTATTAATTTTAATTTTAATAATTAAAATATTATTTTAATATTAATTTTATTCATATTAATTTTAAGCATTTTCAAATTTAGAGACAGGAATTACTCAAGTCAATGTAATTTTTGATATGTTAAAATGCAAGATAAGGGTTATTATTAATGTTTGCAACTATCAAGATATGAACCCCTTCATGTTATAGGATGCCCTGTTTAAAACAAAGATTCTGCTAAGTATTGTTTGAAATTTTTTGGATGGAGTATTTCTCAGATCTATCTGTACCACTGAGATGCTCTTCATGAAAGTCTGTTTTGACAGGAAAAAATGCATTTGAAGTATTTCAAAAGGCTGACATTCCTGGACTAGAATTTTTCATGTTTGATTCCAAAAAAGTGTTACAAATAGAAATTTTTATGAAAGTTATGTCACATAATGTATAAAAATGTGTATTACTTTAACTACCAAGAGAATTATTGAATAGAATATTGATCTGAATTGGAACAGATATCAGTCAGCTACATTAGATTTTGTGGCAAGGTTTTGATACCAAGGAAAGGGGGACATGGCTACAGGGTTGTCTCTGTGAGAAGCTGCCAGAAACTTCCAACATGTCCAACAGAGCCAATGCCAGACAACTCCAAGACCAACCCACCACTGGCCAAATTGAGCTCATCAACAACAGCTCTGGAATAACACATTTGAGATAAAAAATGCAGAAACAGCAACTAAGGAGAGTAAACATCTCTGGAAATACCAGGGGCAGCAAGGGAGGACGAGGAGATGTTCCCGGCAGCTGAGCAGAGATGCACACCATCATCAGGCAGCTGTGTCCTTACAGCCCTTGGAGGTCCATGGTAGAGCAGAGATCCACCTGCTGCCCACAGACAACCCCACACTGGACCAGATGGATGCCCCAAAGAGGCTGTGACCCTGTGAGAAACCTGTGCTGGAGGAGGCTCCTGGTAGGACCTGTGGACCCATGGGGAGAGGAGCCAGGGCTGTAAGCAGTTTTGCTGACAGGACTTGTGACTCCATGGGGAGCCCACACTGGAGCAGTCTGTTCCAGAAGAACTGCACCCCATGAAAGGGACCCATGCTGAAATATTCATTAAGAACTGCAGACTGTGAGAAGGATTCACATGGGAGAAGTTCTTGGAGAACTGTCTTCCGTGGGAGGGATGCAATGCTCCTGAAGAGCCTTCCCGTTTGAGGTGGGCATTCAGTCAGTAATTAGGATCTAGAAGAAACAAGCACTTCTGTGAAACAACTGGCTTGA